TTCCCACAATTACTGCATCCTTCATAGAAGATCTCTTCTTGGAGTCGGTATCAGGGTACATGTCTAAGTGCAGGGGTGTCTTTAGAGCTGAGAAGAGTGTGAGCATATGCTGGGGGAACTGACGTGCATATGCACAACTCAGGTTTGCCCTGTAAGAACGTAGCATCTAGCTCCAAGCTTTGTACATAGCTGATGCTTCAGGAGTGAGTGTTAAATTTCTTTCAAACCTAAGTGTTCTCATAAGATTCCCTATCCCTCCTGGTTGGGGAAACACAGTTGAGCTGATGTTCAACTTGCCTCTCCATAGATAACCAACAGTTTTCTTCCCCCACCCAAGACCCACCTTCCGCAGTGAGGAAAATTCAACCTCTTAACCAGGCTGTGTGGCTTGGGCAGGTAGCCTAAGCTGTCTGAGCCTCAGTTTCCTCATCTTTTAAAATGAGAGAATCAGGTTCAGTTACGTTTGCTGAAGTGTGGGACATACACTACAGATGGGACTCGGGATGACTGTAACCAGAAAGTAGACCTGGCATTAGAAGGGACCCACTCCTATCAGGAGGAAGTTATCCCTTCAAAACACTCTTCCATTCCTTCTCGTTCCAACAAGAAGAAAGTCTCTGTTTGATACATTACCTTTAACACTTGTCCAGTATTTGCTAACTAACTCTGTGGAAAAGACAGCAGTGCTTTATTGTCATTGCGCTTGTATTTTAACAGCTACCATCTGTTTATGGCATAGGGTTCTCTAGTGATTAAAAAAGGAAACTTTCCAAATGCACTTATTTAGAAGGGGAGGGTCATCATATGAAGGTCAGAACCAGCAAATTTTCTTATGCTAGGGCCAGAATAATGATTACCTTTAGGGGTAAACACTAGGAAGGCGACACAAGGGAGCCTTCTGAGCTGCTAAGAATTGGAACTTTCTTATATCTTCATTTAGGCCATAATTATAAGTGTTAAAAATTATATCATAAAATTGAACTTTAAAGCTATGCATGTCTCAATCAAAAAGAGAGAAATATGAATAAATATTTGAAGATAAACATTAATGAAATAGCAACTAATGTGAAATACCAATATGGAAAAATGCACACAGTGGTACGTGCGGTTTAAGTTGGGTCAGTGATGGACTGGAAAACTTTGAAGTTTCCTTCTGGCTCATATGATGTGAGTCTCTGAGTGCCTTGGAAGTCTAAGTCACAAGGTTGCTGAGTACACTGATGGCAGACCCTCCCAGAGCTGGGGTTACTCTCCTGGCAGTGGGCACTTCCGGTGGGTGAGTGATGGGGATGTAGGTCCCATCTGAAGAGCCCTGCCTCCCCAGCCCAGTTTCTTCCTCCTGCTCCCCATCCTGGGTGCAGCTCATTTCATCTTCCTTTCTCTCTGAGCATTGGCCAAGCCTCAGCTGCATCTATCATCTGCTTCAAGCTCATTAAAATTATTTCTTTTTAGTTGCAAATGGGCTGTTTATGATGATCATTATTTGAATGGTCTGCGCCGGGCTCCGGGCTGTCTGTCTGCTGCTGACGGCCGGTTAATCAGATGTGTCTCCTCCCCGTCTGGGCCTGGCCCAAAGTCTGGAGCTGTGTTAATCATGGCTCCCCTAGGTCTGGGGGCTGGGGGCTGAGGGTTGGGGACCAGGGTGCGAGACAGTACTGAGTTCTGCTTGATCATCAAAGGAAAGGCCCTGCTATCTGTGTATGCACATAGTGGCTCAGACAGTCTTTTCTAAAACTCAACTTCAGACCAGTGCTAGTTTATGTTTACAAGAATTATTTCCATTCCTTCAAAATACAGTGCTATTGGCTTCTTAAATTTTAAATGTGCTTATTTTAGAAGACTCTTGTTGATTCTGTCTTTGGTCCTCTTGCTTTCTTGATGTTCAAATATCCTGTCTTTCAGGGTGGGAGGGAGTGGTTTTTTGTCTCTGCTTGATACAGTAAAAACTGGCAATACTCTGTCCATCCTTTTTTTTCTCTTTTGTGAGATTTTTACTGACCTATGAAATCCAGAATTCTTAGAATCACTGATCTAGTGGGGGTTTTCTGAGCTCTCAGTTTATCTAAATATAAGATTAATATCAGCCAACATTTATTGAACTCTCGATACTGTGTTTGACACTTTACACACTTACAGCATTACAAACAAGTTCCTTGAACATCCCCCAGCTAGGAGGAATGTGGAGCAGAAGCCCTGTGAAGAGCAGGGTGTCACAATTTTGCCTTCATGATCCACCAAGGAAATAACCCACACCTGAATTTTTAAAATTGAGTGTAATTTATTTTTAGTCCCTGCTTGAATCACCTAACAGACACATTAATATGTTTGTTACATGCGATGATGTATGTAAGGAACTTAGCATGGTGCCTGGTGTATGTGAGCACCCAATAAGTGGTGGTTATGATTATTATTTATGATTATTGTTGTTGCTAGTGAGCTTCCCATAGAAATACGGTAAAAATTCAGGGTTGAAGGATGAGCACAGACATAGGCAAAGTTGCAAAGAACATAGGCATCAGTCACATTGCTGGCTGTTCCTCTAGAGCTGAACAAGATGGACAGCAAAAGCTGGACCTGCAGTAGGGCCAGGGCCAGGGCTTGCTGGTGTTCCCCTGGTCTTGCTCCTGCGGTGTCTGCATGTGGACAGAGCAGACAACTGCCCCCACCAGCAGCCTGGGAGCTTCTGGTGTAGGGAGCCCGTGCAGTCACGTGGCTTAATGCATCAAGCAGTTGGACCTACCCTGCTCTGCTCTGAGATTTCCTCTCAGAGCCTAGGTTTGATGTTTTAAATGAAGAGCCCAGCTCCAGCAGCCAGTAGTTACTCTGTTGCTGTGGTGCAGGGAGGGGTAGTGTCCCAGATATTAGAACATAGTGTCGGGCACATGATAATCCAAAACCAAAGTGATACCAACCCAAGTCCCAGTTCTGTTTGTCCTGCAGCAATGTAAAAATCACATCTTCGTCTTCATAGATGAGAAAAACGAAGAAAAACTGTGAGTGCTCTGCCACAACTCAAATTGACCATGACACTCCAGTTCCCTCTCTCCTGCCAACTGAGGTTCTGTCCACCTGGCTGCACCACCTGGCTGCACCACCTGGTTGGTTTTTGTCTACCTTTGATCATTCCTGTTGCTGCAAACAACAAATCTCTCCCCAGTTGCTCAGTATTTTGATTGTGGTCACTTGTGGTTTCTTTATTTGAAACTATGACCATTTTTCAATGATGATAAACTAGAAGTCTCCCCTTTTCTCTTCTGTCACCTTGGCAGGCTGTCAGAAGCTGTTTCTGTTTCTCTCTCTCCTCATCCCTCTCACAACACCTTGTTCCTCACCTGCTCAAATTCCATGGGGTGTTTGGGCTGGAAGCCCCCACACCTTTGAATTGGTATACCCAGGGCTGTAGCATAGAATTGATTCAGCACCTTGGAGAGCACCACTGTTATGATTCCCTTGCCCCTCTATTTCACCTCTGCTTTTATGCCTCGACCTTCTTTTCTCCATTCTAGTCTCATGATTCTCTGTAAAGGCCAGACATAGAAATTCCCTGATTTCACCAAAGACACCATAGACAGAGACACTTATCCTGGGCTTGAGGTAGGGTCTCCAGCCTCTCATGGGTATGAGGTTTGTGGTGCCATGGTGAACTGCTATTGAGAGATTTACTGACTCTCAAACATGATATAAGACAATTACCATGCATTTTGTCTCTTAGAGGGAAAAGGATTTGCAGCGGGTTAATAGTACTTTTATTTCATTATCTAATGGTAAAAGTGTTCCATTGTGTGTGCAAGATGAATGCATATTAGCGATGACAAATGGGGTCTTTCAACACGGTGCCGGGCCTCGTCATACATATGTTAGATTAAAGAGTTCACCCTAGAAATACACTCTTGCATCTGCGTGTGTGTTTTTAATAAATCTGATTGCAGAAATTTATTGCATCACCGGATTTAGGAAATTATGGGACTTGATTGCTGAAAATATAATCGGGTGATATACAGAAATGCTCCTCGAGTTATGGTACAGAAAAAAAAGCCCATCTCTGAATGGTGCAAGAAAGCAGCAGACCACATAAACAGAATATTTCTTGAATTATGCAAATGAACCAGTGATGACTCATGGTGAATTGTACCCCCCTTGTGAAACTGCCTCTGTTAAAGTGAAGAAGCTGCAAGAAGGGTGATCAAATATACATGTACAACCAGCAGACATCATCTGTGTTGTGTGTGAGCTGTAGCATCCCCTTCTTCTATCTCTCACTCTGTTTTTTCCCTCAGTAGTACATCCTATAAAAACCTGGTCTGATGCTTTCATTGCACATTAGCAGGCGAGGTACCTTCCAATCCATTTTTTCTGAAACCAGGAGTCATCAATGAAATATTTCTTATACTTGAAGTGAACCTTAAATGATTTACTACAGGATACACAAAAGGTCAGCTTGCTTCTTATTGGCACCTTCATTTTTCCAAAATCTACTGAAATTAAAAAGCCATCCATATCTTAAAAGGCATATTTATGAACTCTTAAGTGTAAGTAAGTCATAGTTGGAACAGTTCCCACCTCTGATATATGAAAGCTGTCGGCAGCACTTTCTTACACTATAATATGCCCATACAATATGCCGCACTTTACTATTTTGACATGGTTTGGAGATGTTTTCTACAGTTACTGACAAGCTTATGCCATCACTCCTTTGGAAATTTAAGAGGTGGAGCAGGAGGGTTGGGAGAGATGAAAAAAACAACTCCACCCAACTTTATGGGAGATTATTGATCTAGCCCAACTTCCAGTGAGCAAAAAAAGCTGTCCTGGATATTTTTCGGTTGCATCCCCAGTTTTGTAAATTATTCATTTGTGCCAGGAGTCAATATCCTGTCTTTGCTCAGCTTTGTAAGTTAAGAAAACTTGTATGAAATGCTGTTTTGTACAATGATTAAAAAGGAAAAAGAAAAAAAAATCTTTTTCTTTTCTCTCTCTCTTTTTTTTTTTTATTGTTCCAGAAGGAGCTTAATTCCGTTGCTTCTGAGCTGTCTGCGCGGCAGGAGGAGAGTGAACATTCTCATAAACATTTAATTGAACTCCGCCGGGAATTTAAGAAAAATGTACCTGAGGTACAGTATATTTGCTGTTATAGAATTAACTCAGTAGGAATGCAGATTTTTCTCTGTTCAGACTATATTTTGAAAACTGTAGACATAAGTGACTAACAAGAAAAGAAGCTAATTAGCCACAAAGAAAAATTACAGCCCCCAACCTTTCAGTATTTCTTAGTATAGTGGTGCTCAGCGGTACTGTCTAAAGTGAGGGCAGAATGCTTCTCATTGAAGTTGTTGTGTTTGAGGACTCTATAAAACATCCACCACCACCCCCCTTTCATATCTAAGTCAAATGCTTGGCCTTGACAGCAAAGACAATTTGTCTTGATTTTATTTTGCTTCTCCACTGGCATCTGGGAGATGCTGGCTATAGACTCTACCACCCTCTCCAGTCCTTCCCTCGATCTCCATCTCTGAAACTGCCTCCCACCCCCATAAATGAGCCTCATTCTTCCCCTTCACCTCTCCTCTTGCAACTTCAACCACCAGCTTTGTTTTTCCCAACCCATGAGGTTGCTCCAGATAATGCCCAGCCCCTGGCAATGTAAGGGCCCCCCCAGGGGAAGGGACTAGAATGGACATGTTTCCGTTTTTACAGGGGCGAATGTGTTAATTCCTTTCCCTTCTCTATCAGAACCCCTGTTGCTTTTCAAATTAAAAAAAAATGATGGGAATAAATACAAATAGGAAAAATGAAGCCTTCTGACTCCATGTCATGTTGACAGGGATGTGGCACGTCAGAGTCATTGTGGGAAGCAGACTGCCCCGCAAAGCCAGTTTTGCTTCTCTGTGGTCAGCGGTTAACAGTTGAGCTCGCTGTCCTTACCTGCTCAGATGACTTGGATCTTGGAGGAGGGTGGGGCAGAGTCTGGCATTCTGGAGGTATCAGACCTAGAGATGTTGATTCTACTTTGCCTGTCAGCAAACCAGGGGTCCTGTTGCCATTTTGCTAATGGAGGGCGGGGCCCTAGAATGATGGAAAAGAGGCATACCTATCCAGGAATCGGGCCACATGAGCACAGAGGGGTCAGTGTGTGCTCACACAAGTCAGAAGTGCCTTTGGATCTTCAACGCAAGAGAAGGAAGTAGGATATAGCTAGAACTTGTACGTCTAGAAAGAACCTAGGTTTGAAGCTGAGGGAGGGTGCGCTAGGAGAAGGGGCAGGAATCTCAGGTCTGAGTGTCTCCCATGTCACAGCTTCAGAAACGTCCACTCAAGTCCTAGATTTGACTCTGGGAGTCAAGAAGGCATAGGTGATGCTGAGTACCCTCCCTTTTCCTCCTAGAACAGAGAACAGCTTGGTCTTTTAATTCATTTTTCTGTGGAGAACGATGGTATCAAAAGCTTAGCCTCTGACTCTCCGTTCTCTGGGGAGCAGGTGAAATGGCCTGAGATCTTCTCCGCCTCCGTGCCCTCTCTGCCTGGTCAGCGCAGACCCTCCATCGTATCCTCTTCCTCCGAGTCCTGGAACCCCCAGGTGATAAGGGAAATCCAGGCCAGGTTTTAAGCCTCTGAGTTCAGCTTATATAATTTTAATACTGCATAATTATGCAATTATGTAATTAGGAATAAGTTTCCATTCCTATTATAGTTGCGCCTCTGAAAATTCTCATTTTTGGAACTAGTCCCTCCTGATGGGGAGAGTCATGCCAAGGCTTTATTTAAGAACATTATCTGGCTAGAGCTCAACTCACCTCCTGCTGGTGCCTTTATGCAGCTTCCCCCAGGGATGCAACAGATAGGGCAGTGGGCTTCTAGAAATGGTCCGCGTTGGCCCAGAGTCTCACCACCTCCCCTTTGCCCTCACATTTGAGTCCTCTAAACTCACTTGAGTTAAGGGTTATACAAACTGTCTGTTTGGGGATCTGTTGATCTGCATTTGTATCTGCTGTGCACTCAGTCACTGCGAGACTTTGAGCAAGCCATTCTCTCTTGGGGCCTTGGGTTCCCTTTCTTTAAATTCAGGAGACTGAAGAAATGGGTACTGAGGCCCCTTCTGGCACTAATATTTTCTGAACCTGGACCCAGAGGTTTCCTGCTGATATGTTTTATTTGGTGTGTAAAGTCTTCCAAGTTTTACAATGCATTTCCAATGTTTAGTATCTCAGAAGATTTCACCACAAAACCTGGATTTCTGGTATCCTTTGAGACTTCTGGCCACAGGGAGGCTCCATGTCCATGTGGCAGTCACCAGCTAGAGCTGAGCAGCAGCCCCCACCCCCATCACATGGTGCTGTGTTCTCCCAAGATTTGTCACGGCACCTCCCAGCCTGCCTCCCTCGTGTCCACTCTCTGCTAGCCTCTGCAGGCATTTGAATTGACAACCTGCAACCTAGGTCTTCATATTGTTCCTTTTCCATTGTTCAGCCCAGGCCTCTGCAGTTCAAATCTACTAGGTTCTTATTTACTCCCTAGGTCCCTCGTGAAAATCCCCAGCACACATGGGTATATCAGTGGCTCTGAGAAGCCCTGGCGGTCACAGATCAGTGAGGAGGGGACCCAGGACCTGGAAGAGTGATCCTTTCCAGGGACAGAAGCAACACATCTTTATTTGTTTTCATAATTAAGGGATCTCTTTTTTATCTGAGCCTATGTATTCTCCTGACCATCTCTCCTGCTTCTGTCTGCTGTCCCCTCCCTTCCCACCCTCAAGCACCTCTCAGCTCTTCCTGCTGTGAGCTTCTTGTGGGCCCTGGCTGACAGCAGCTGGGGGAGTCACCAGTGAGTCTGAGGAAGAAACTGGGGAATTTAGAGTTAGGATTTTGTGACACTCGGTTCTAAAAAGCCTCCTTTTGTACGCTGGGAAGAACTCACGGGTGCCCACCAGGGGAGCCCTTGGGACAAGGAACCTCAGGATCATTTGTGTGAGAGGCAGGAAATTAGAGTCCGGAAATAGGAGGCTGCCTTCTGAAGACAGCCCACTGCTGTAGAGCTCATCAAACATCTACAGAGCCCTCCCTCTGAGTTAGGCATCCTGGGGGATGACTCAGCCAAGACCCCAGAAGACCGCATATCCTGGTGAGGAAAGAGAGACAAGTACAGAAGTGATGTTGCTAAAATGCGAAGTGCAGTCTTTGCTGGAGAGGGACAGCTGGGTGGGGCAGCAGAGATGGCACCCAGAAGGAGACAGCCGCTGAGTAATGAGAAGGACAGAATTTTTTCCTGAAGGGACTTTGGTGACATGGTGCCAGGTGTGGAGAGCTGGGGCTCCCTCTCCAGCGCCCGCTCCAAGGAGAGTCCCATGATGGACCACCAGTTCCACAAGGTACTTTGCATATTAGAGTACTCTGTGACCAAATTGTTTATTTAGGAAATACTACTTCCGCTCTCCCTCTTCCAGAAATTCCCAATGTGCATTATACAAAAGGCTCCAAAAAGTCCTGCAGGAGAGAAACTTGATATTGGACTTGGTTTCCCAGCCTGATTTGCCTTCACACTGTGTGTGTAACCGTCTGTGTGTTGATGTACATGTGAGGAACCCTTACAAAATCCTATGGAGCATAGGTCCCGGGGGACACATTTGGGAAATGCTGACCTGGGGGACAACAGTAAGCTGCAAGCAGGAGCCATGGGGGTGTCCCTCCTGGCACTCTGGTGAACGCTTCACTGATCTCTTTTTCAGGAAATCAGAGAGATGGTGGCTCCTGTACTAAAAAGCTTCCAAGCTGAGGTAAGACCCAAGGCCCGTGACATGTCACAGAGATATTTCCTGGTCCCCGCTCCTGTCCCACCTGGAGTTGCAAGAGGAGGCCAGCAGCCTCTGCGTTCTTGGGAGAAACTTTCCCGCTCCCATCGCAGCCTGCCCCATTCCTTTCAGATCAGCTAATGCTGACATGATAAAAATGGGTTCTCTGTTCTGTTTAATGAGATCCCAGTGACTGATCCCAAGACATCTCCCTCTCCCTAGACTTTGCCCCACCTTACACCAGCTCTGCTACATATAACATCTGTGACCCTGTACGAACCACCTCACCTTCCAGGCTTGGTTTCCCATTTTTAAAATCAGAGGTTTGCGCTCAGTGACCTTTGCTCTCCTCTGAGATTCTGCTCCATTTTGATTCTCTAAGGCAGCCTTGCAGATAAGTCCAGTTACCAGCTTGCCCTGAAATTCCTCTCTACCAACCCACCCTCTGAGTATCAAATCAACATTGGTCTCATTCTTTCCTGCCAGCCCATCAGGCCCTAGTTCCCTGCGCAGCAGCTGAGCTATCCTCAGCGAGTCAATTCTCTTGCTTTCCTGGAGCCCTGTGACAGGGCTGAACCACCCCATTTCTCTTCTTGGCTTGACTTTGTGACCAGGATTCTGAGAATGTCCACTTGTCTGGCTGGTGCAGGGGGTAGGCTAGGGAAAGAATGGAATTATACTGAGGCAGGGGAGTGGTCGGGGAGGCCATTTCTCCAGTGTTTCATCTTCAGGTGGCTTACCTCAGTTTCCCCCTGGATTCAGGCAGAACTCCAGAAGGATTAGCCCTTCTCAGAGTTCGCCAGTGGAGATGCATTTTTAAGTCTGTCGTCCGCCAAGCGCCACATTACTTTAAATCTGTCTCTTTGGAACCGCGTAAGCACATAAGGCAATATTAAAGTAAACAATAACTGGATTTACCAAATGTCGCTCATTTCCATATTTTTCATCCCTTCATTTTATTACTGAGTTGACTGATGTGCTTATTTATTTATAGGGCCATCCGGTATTGATTCATTTGGTTGCAAGGTGCCTGAGTTGGAAGGGAAAAAAAAAAACAGAGAGAAGACCAATAATGTTGGGAATGTATTGTCATGGCTTTGTTTTTTTTTTTAAAAAGAGGTCCCCATCTGCCGACTCCTGGTTTCATCAGAGGTGCTCAGCACACAAGCCCTCTCAGGCAGCTGATCCCTCTGCCCAGCCTGAAGACAGGCTTTGGGCTGCTTTGTATATATGGCCTCTGTTTCTCCACTGATCCCTGGAATGGGTTGGTGTGGGTGGAGCTTCTCGTAGCCACTTGGAGCCTCAGTTTCCCTATCTATTAAATGAGAGCAGACACTACAGACCTTTTCATGTGATTTTGAGAACAGGTTTAATGTAATGCCTGGCATATAGAGAATGCAGGTGAGTACTGTCTCCAGAGCCAACATGGGTTTGAATCCTGCCTCTCTGCCAGTTACTCGCTGTTTGGCCTTAGGCAAGTTACTTAACCTCTCTGTGCCTCCATTTCCTCATCTATCAAGCTGGATAATAATTATACCTACTTCATAAGGTTGTAATTGAGGAAGAACACAGTTAATACCCATGGAGTGCTTAGAACACTGCTTTGCATATTAGAAGACTTGGTTATTTTATTATTCAGTGACCTCCAATACAAGTTTATTTGGCCTCTGCTATGCCTGGGTTTTCCTAACAAGATGTTCAAGGCTTTGTATCTGAAGGAAGACAGCTGTCTATCCCTGTAGGAAGCAGGCATGGCTTAAACCTCAGCTGTGCCGCTCCCCTAGCTGCGTGGCCTTGGGGGAGAGGTCCTTAACCTCTCTGAGCTGCAGTTTCCCGCCTCTGGCAAATGAGGTTAACAATAAGGATTCAAAGAACTAACGAGAATGGAGGCAGGTGACACGCTGTCTTGCACACAGTTGGTACTCAATAAGTGTTGGGGGAGCGAAAGTTCTAGTGGCTCTAAAAAGAAACCCAAAGTTAACTCCTCATTTTCAAACCCAAGTGGCATGTTGAATAGACACTGTTTCAGTAGCTGGGGGTCTTCAAAGAACTTCGTTAATTTTCTTAAGGCTTTCCACTGTCCCTTTAATGTACCAAAAAGACTACATTTGTCTGGAGTTTTATTCCTGAGACCCCTGCTTTCCTCATGATCTAGTGACTAATCCATTGCTGCCTCCTTGTCCTTCCCTGAGCCTCAGGGGAGAAACGCCGCCAAAGAAAGGTGTTAATAAAAAGCATCTTCTCGTCCAGAATAAACTGCACACGCACAGGTCATTTATAATCCAAATTTGATTTTCATTTTAATTTTTTTAATGAGGGTTCATCCTTTATGCCGCTTTACTCTTGTGATCCACTAGGCTCTGGGCTCAGAGCTGAGGATTCCCAAGTGGGCATTAATCACCTCCCAGGAATATTCCCCGAGGCAAACACAGTCTCAAGTCACATAAAGTAGCCCGTAAAACGCCAGGACTGAATACTGTACCCTTCATTCCTTCCTCCCCAGTGCGGGCCTACTGTTGAAATATAACATGTTGAAGTTCATTCCTTAATTTCAGTCCACCAGCCCTGGCATATACAGAATCTGGGCACCTTTTTGTCTTTTCATCCTGTATATGTGTGTGTCTATTTTTTCTTTTTCTTCTTCTTTCTCTCTTTTTTTTTTTTTGTGCTGGTGGTGGGAGGGATGTGGAGAGGAAGTGAATTTGCCCTGCTGTGAATCAAGGAAGCTTTTTCTCTGCCTTGATTGCGTAAAGGACAGTCTTGATTCCTCTAGCTCAGGGAAACAAAGACAGCCAGAGAAGGTGGCTTAATGGAGGCAGCTTGAAATGGCCAAAGTTTGAATATCCTTGCGCACAGAGAAAAGAGCAAGACGAAAGCCCCGCTAATTATAAAAGTTGCTTTATGGAAGATAATTCAAAGCAATAATTTAGCAAACATAATCAAGTCGCACAGATGGGGTTGTTGATGGATGGATTGCAACATGCAATTAGCAGTTCTCGCAGTTACATATCATTAACCCTCCGAGCACAAAAATTATTTTCTCATTATTAGTTGAAAAGGTAAAATTAAGCTGACTAGACAGTAAAGGAACAAACTACAATTAATTACCTTCATTTATTACAGTCATTATTTTTAACTTATTTTTACTTGGAGAGAGAGAGATGAAAACATCTAAATTAAAAGTTTTGTTATGCTAAACCAGAGGTGAAACTTTTCTAAGAATGTGTGCACTGGCCCAGCCAGGAAGACAGTAGGGCCACTGCCAGGAGGGTTTTTTTCCTCTGCTTCCTTCTTCCATGTGAAGTAATGTGGCCTGCATGATGGAAAACCTTTTTTTGGTTGAGCTGGTGCAGACATGTTCACCCAGGCCTGATGGAAGCACAGCAGTTTGGGAGCCAGGGGGGCTGACACAGACTCTGACCCCGAAGGGAGGAAGGAGGTGTGGCGGCCAGACACACAGGGTCTGAGTCCCACCCTAACACTAACCAGCTTATGTGACTCTGGCAAATGACTTCATGTCTCTGAGCCACTGTTTCCTCATAAGTAAATAGTGAAGTGACTGCTCATAGGATTGCATGAGGTCCCCTGAGATTCTCTGTCAAGTGGCCAGCAAGTCATTTGTTCTCATCATGGTGGGTGTGATAGGCTGCATGGGGCTGAGATGTTTCCTCCCTGTCCTCTCAGGGTCAGAGGAAGTTTGTGTGGTGTGACCACCTTCTAGAAGCTAAGAGGGGGAGCCGAGGCATCACTTACCAAAAGACGTGTTTATTGAGTCCATGCAATCATTTTATTCATTCAACAAATATTTATCAAGCCCCTGCTACAGACCAGGTGGTGGTCTAGATGCTGGATCCAGTGAAGGTCCCAGCCCGGTAGTCAACGTAGCCCCTTTTCATGTGGGGGAGAGCAAGCGTTTGTGCCATACCCAGGAGGGCCACCTCTCTACTTGGCACCTTAAAGGTCCGGTCAGTCAACAAATACTGTGCACCAGACTCTAGGCGAAAGACCTGAGGGAAATCTGAAGGTGATAAGACACCATCCCTGCCCTTGAGGAGGGTCCCTAGAAGCTCTGTCCCTGTGCTTGGAACTGTGTCCAGGACTCATGTCTAGAACTCGAGGGACACCTGTTGGTTTCCTCCAGAGGTTCTGCTGTTGGTTAGCTTCACGTTCCACCATGTCCCCATGCTGGCCACACAGTATCCACCATCCTGTGCATGTCTGCACTGTGTCCTGGCACTCCCCCGTCAGGGGATGGAGACTGCACCTCCCTCCTTTGAATCCAGGCCTGTGTCCACTTTGACCGATAGAACATGGCGGAAGTAACCCTGTTGCAGTACCAAGCAGAGGCCTCAGCCAGCCTGGTGGTTCTGCCTCCTGCCTTTTCCAGCGTTCACATAAGAAATGCAGCTACCCTGAGACCACCCTCCTGTGAGATGCCCAGCCTACATGGAGAGGCCCTGGGAGTGAGACTCCACATGGAAGAAGGGGGCCAGGAGCACCGAGGCACCAGACTCCAGCCAAGGAGCCACGTTGGCCATGAGCCCAGTCCAGCCGTCAGGTGACTGAAGCCCAGCTGCCGTCTGGCGGTGACTGCCTGAGAGAGGACGGGAGAGAACCACCCGCCTGAGCCCAGTCAGCCCAGACCCGTGAGAGAAAATGAGCGGTTGTTCAAAGCCACTGCATTTCGGGGTGGTTGGCTGCAGAGTGCCTGTTCTTTCCCCTCGCCCCCACTTCTCCTCAACTCTCATCTCCTTTTTTCTTCCACCTCCTCTGCCCTCTTCTCCATCCTCTGGCATTCAGTGCCAACACTTCTGAGGCTTTGTCTCTTCTCCCTTGTATTTCTTCTGATGAAATCGGGTGCATCTCTGACACACGCCCCAGTGGCTAAAGGAGGTGGGACAGACCCAATACAAGATAATAGAGGAGCAGAGAGGTAATGTTGAAATAGGGATTTGCAAAAAAGCAAAAAATGGGGTCTTGCTGTC